TATTCTGATTAAGAATGACAAAACTCCTATGAGAATGTTTTTTGCAGAATATGGATATCATGGTCTCAATCATTAATTAATTATAAGATTCTCTCGTGTGGATAAATTTTCAGATAAATCAAATAATAAACAACAAACAGGAAGGAAATTAAATTACAGATTTATTAAGTCATTTGTACATCATTACATATGCACTTGCACACACACACACAATGCTTATTCAGAAAACATTGTGTTCCCAATCGTTACAATACACAAGGTGATAACATACTTGCAAAAAAACTTGTTTGAAATGAAGGGCATCTCTGGCGAGTAAATATTTATACCTTCATCATTGCATCTATGTTTCTTTTATGTAATTATTACATAAATTACATATTCACAGTTAAAGTAGTTTAACTACTTGAACTGTCTTCTTTCAGCTCTGAGGAAAAAGTGATCATTCATGCATGCAATGTTATACATCATGCACTTTTTTTCTTTTCCTGAAGACATATTTGAGCAAAATCCCAGAAATAGGATTTCACTCCTCTACAGCAAAGAGAATCATGAAATATAATACTTCCTAAAACGTGGTTTCCCATGGGCAATTATGAGTATTAGTATAGATTAATGTTACATGAGACACGGATTCTTGGGCTCAGAGGTAAGGTCTCATGCTCAAAGGAAAGTGCTCTCAGGTAAAGTACTCAAATACACAGATGTATCATTGAAAAACAACATTTTGGAACTGTGTGCATATACAAGGGTTCCAGCAGTTACTCCCTTCAACTATTAATTTATTGTTGTCTGGTCAACAAATTTATTACAAATTTTTTGTTCAAAATACTTCATGCACACAAATTTAGTGTATTGCTCTCACATGCATTTTACTTCACAAGTCTAATTTCCATTGACAGAAATATTACCAAAAACTTGCACATTAGTTTTCAGTTACCTCACACAAGTTGAAAATAATTTTAAATTACACTTGTACCCAAAATTCATTGAATTCTGAATTTTTTTTTGAACTCAATTCGAGTGTATTGAAATTTCTAACATACATAAACATCTGAATCTTAAAAAATAAATCTTCATCTTATATATAAAGATAAAAATCTTCATCTTATTATTTCTAAATTATTGGTATTTGTACGATTGGGAAAGGGAAAGAAGAAATATGGTGAATCAAAAATGTTTCGTTTTCCTACAGATATTAAAGGGTGCTTATTTATTCACAAGTTATTTTTTCTGTCCTCAATTTCCCTTTCTTAATACAATACAAATGGCACACTATAATTCAAGAAAAAACACACAACGTATTATTACTATTACTTTTTTGGAATAACAAAGTAAAAAGATGATCCACAAAATCTTGCTTAAAACTTATATCTAATAACATACATATGTAAGTTATAAAATTGTAATTGTTAATTTATAAGTTTGCTTGTAGAGTTAATAAAGTGATCATGAGTATATGAAAAATGATTAAATTACCAGTACATTACAAATATAAAACTATTTCATCATATGTAATTTGAAAGAACATACGAACAGCTTGGACACTCATACGTTAAAAAAGGAATGATCAAATCAAGAATATGTTCTAAAGCAGAAATAGCAAAAAAGTTTATCAATAGAGGCAGCACTTCAAATTATTCTCAACTTTTAAGTTGTTTTATGCCGAGAACAACTTTGAGCTGCACATGTATTACTGATTTACCTGACAAAGCAACTCTGAGCCTAAATGGGTCTAGTAGTATAACAAATAAGCAAGTCATCTCACGCACAAGTTCGCTACAAGCGGAGTACAAATACCCCCAATTAATATCTTGAACTTCACGGGTTTCAAGATAATATTATCATATACATTGTTTTTAGAAAACTTCTTTAAATGGTTGCCGTTTCAAATAGTGGAGCAAAATATTCACTAAATAGAAGCATTGAGAAATGCTTTGGTAACTGAGTACTGTGATTACAGTAAGTGTTTAATAATTCAACTATTGCACAATCTATTTCACTGTGTAAAGCAAGTTACTCTTTACTTCTAAAAAATGTTGCATAGCACCTTTAACAAGTTCAGAGTTGCCTTACCCAAGTAAGTTACGTGTATAATGAATAAAGAGTATAAAAATATTAATTCCCACATGATAGTGCCACACATACTGGCATACCAACCATGTGAATAAATTGCTATCATGTGTATTTCCCAACAACATGACTACACAAGTCAAATTCTTAGAGATGCAATTAAATTTGTTAACATTTTATGTAGAATTCACTCTGATGCTTGACGTGAAAATTCTTCTGTTCAAGGCAATTTTCACAAATATCTTTACTAAGGGATAATAGAGGCAATTATTAAAGCAACACTACTCAACTACTTTCAAAATAGGCGATTTTAAAAATACTCATCAGGATGACAAACAAAAATGGGCTTGCCAAAAATTACAAAGCAGCCCAAGTGTGTACATAAATATGTTCATCATCCATAGAAAAATACATTTATCTCTACTAGCTAAATACATGTCAAACTGTTTTGGGGCAGCCTGAACAATACATAATAATCAATATTGATAAATAGAAGCTAATTACTTGGAAAAATTATCACTATCAAGAATCTCAGCATTTAAATACATCTGTTCTTTATGTTTTTCTATGTGAATGAAACAAGCAAGTTTCATGCACACACAGATAAGATTATTTTCCACGACAGCATATGATGCAGAAACCTAAGTCAAATGTAAATTACATAGGACACTTTATAATTTTTTCCATCACAGCATGTGCACATGAAAATAAGAATTATTCTACATACTATATTCATTATACGAAAGACATGAATTTTACAATTTCAACAATTCTTCCTAAAAATATGAAATTTCTATACAGATACATATCCTAAGTTTCTTTAAATTCAACTCCTTTAGGCTCGAATATCTGGCTCCAGTGATGAGAGCCAAACTAACCACATTCCAGCATGGTAATTTCCTATTCTCATAAGATCAAAATTGTGACATTTACATCATCAAAACCCTAGTGTATTATTGATCATGAAGTGGTTGGTTATGAAGTTACACCAATGTTTCAGGATGTAATTGATGTATGATAATTTTTGTACAGCACCTCATGTGTAATTATTATGTGAACCCAGACAATAAAATACAGTTTAACACAGGTTCCCTTATCGGTTTCAGACACAATGATCTGTTAACACAAGAACCATCCTTTAGTTTTGATCCTGTACAAAAACAAATCTTTATTACGGAATGAATAGTAAATTATACAATAATGCCCCTTAAAAAAATAAATAGAATTTCACATTCAGAAAGCTTTGATGAGAGATTCATTTTCGGCAGTATTTTTAACAATGATTTAAATGCAAATAAAGTGAGATCACAATAATTTGAGTTTACAGTATTGTTGTTAAAAAGGACTGATTTATAATGCCATAGGAAACCAATATAAATTTAATTACAAGTGATATAAATCATAAACATACTGAAATAGCAGAAATGTAGAAGCACCATAGACACTATTTCTATCTTAGGAGATAAAATTTGCAAGTCTTTAACATATTACATTAAATTACAAACCTTTCATCTAACAAATATAAAATCTACTACACATTTAACAGCATCACAGTATCATGCCTCCACATTACTTAGAAATATTTACATCTAAAGTAGACATTACCCAATATTTTTTATGTACACATACAAACATACACGTACAGTATAAAAATGAAGGTGCAAAACTTAAATTCCATGAAAATATCACTCCAATAAATCTGAAAATAAAATGCATGCAAACATGTCAGAAAAATGGAAGGCTTTCTTAGAGAAATTACGTTACTCCTCTTGTTGTTATTAATATTATTTTTGCAAAATTCTTTACAAACAGGATAAAAGCTGAGATTAATAAAACCTCTAATTGAAATACTCATCCTAATAAACAATTCGACTTTTTTTAAAAATTTCAAATAAAAATGATAAAATATTTGATTTAATAATATGCAATAATAAAGAAATGAAATTGAATTCAGTATTAGAAATAAATATACTTCAATAAAATTATAAACAAATATATTAAGTTTAAATATTTAAAACTGGGAATTAAGCTTCTTCAAACATTTTATTCCATTGAAAAAAAAAAAAGTCATAAAATAACAAATATGCATAGAGGTATGCGAGTTGGATACCTCTATTGGTAAAATAAATTATAAAGGTTTTTGTCTTAAATAACACATTAGATCGATTTCCATTACAAATTATACAAGAAAAAGTCACTAATTATGTCAAAAATAGAAAAAGAAAATGACAAAGTTTATACATTCATCCAATTATCCACTCCAAACAATAATGTAAAAACTATTATGAATAAAGTTCCCAGATATTCTATAAAGATGGCACTAAATTAAAAGCAAAGTGTGGCACACCACACGCTGTAGTAAGTTAACTCAAAAACCAAAGACACTCTTGAAACTACATTCAACAGAAAACTGTACTGTCTATCAGTGCATGTTATGGTATCTAAATTATGTTTACTTGCCTATCCTACCTCATTCCTGTCCAAATTAGATACTTGATTCTGTATTTACAAAAAATGCAGTCAAATTATGGCAGTGACATTCATATCAGTGTTAAAAAATAAGAAGCTATATAATGGCTATTTATTGAATAACAATAAAGGAAGAAAAAACTATTTGAATTACAAATAATGACTATGATTAGATTCAGCATTGAACATGTTAACAAGTTATTTTATGGCCTGTTTTGGAAGTGGATGGCCATGGTTAAAAATAAAACATTTGCATGTTTTGCACTTCAAAATAATTCCTTGTGTAATGACTTTTTTAAAATTATTATTATTATTATTATTATAAAAAATAGCAAGATAAAATTGTTATAATTGTTATGTTAAAAAATAGCAAGATATATGACAGATTATTAATGCATAATTATAGCTTCTTTTTGCAACAGAAAAGGATAAGTATTGACACAAATTTTCTATGGCACATAATTCATCTGAAATATGAAAAAATATTTGTCATTACAAAATATAATTAACAGATATTTATGTACCTGAACTAATGTAACCTTATTACAAATAATTCCTTCACAAATGGATCAGCATTTTATTCTCATTAAATACTTGATTCACGGATAGTCACCTAGGTCTCATGATTGTCATTAAATTCACATCACACTTCTCATTGGACGCCCATGACTCATTATGCTTTAATGCAAGTTTCCACTCAAGCAATTTGTGGAAGGGGAGGAGTCAGCCCTGAATATTTTCAGCTTTGACAAATTGTTAGAGTTATGTAATGTTTTAAATGCATACATAATAAAACAAGTAGTAAACATTTTGAAATACCTACACTACTGAAATAATTATGAATAAATTTAAATGTATAAAAATAGAATTATACAATGAATAAGAATACAGATCATCCCCTTTACTTCCTATGCAAACTTTTCAAACCTATTCAAAAGTACCACACCTGTTTCCATAAATGAGAGAGAGAGAGAGAGAGAGGAGTGCCAGCATTAGGCAACTTCCTTGGGTTAATTCCCAGTGGGAAACAACAGTTCTCTCAGAGTGAACACACCACTCATCATATCCTGGAGATAAATAATTATTATATTTCAAATTCGGATTCAACGAATTCTGTGTTTGTTTCCAAACTTATTGACTTCAAGTCATGCCCGTAAGTGGTGAAATAGCAACTCAAGTGATCTGACTAGTTGAAATCGCAAAGAAAACGTGGGAAGCAGAAAAAGAGGTTAACTATTTCACTCATGTCTCTTCCACAGTGACAAGAGACTAAAATTAATCTCATAAAACAGGCTGACCTATCCAGCTGAATTCAGGACCTGTGGCATTTCCATGACCATTTCCCCCCCTCGGCACAATGCTCCCCTTCTACAAACCCTGTCTTCCCAGAACGGAACTAGATGTACAATGTGAAATGTACGTTCTCAAACAGCCACCTTGATTTAGCAGTCACCTCAATTAATGGCCATTTGTTGGTGAAACTGGCTGACATTTCTGTAAGACGTCAAAAGTATGTCATCTGAGGGGTCCCCTGGCCTCCAGCATGGCCCTGGCTTAGCGGTCAGGAACACTGCACGGATTGACCTCTATTACCTGGTCGGCGCTAGCGGTTTGCAACTCTAATACAATACGAACAGGACTTGCACTTCTCCCCATAGTATATCTCAGAGTTTGTAACTGCTTCTTGCTCTTAAATACATAAATATAAACAAAAGGAGTGGTGAATGCACTGCAGATTCAATTTCTTGTCATTATTAAATTTCTTAGAATAGTTAGTTGTTCTTCTGGCAAGGGTTTAATTTCTGTTCAAGATAAGATCAAATGATTAAGAAATATCTCTATAATATATCAATATATTCACTTCATTTATACTGAAGTTTTCTCAGTTCTCTAATCCCTTCTTCCCCTCTTGGGGAACTTGTTAATGGCCAACAGACTATGCTGCATGCTGCTCTGTGAACTCTTTTGTGGGCCAATCCTGCTTACAGAAGATGAATTGCATTATGAAGACTAATTTGCTCATCAGTTTGACTTAGTGGGGACACAAAAAGAGTTTTACTAGTTCAAGGATGTTTGACAATAACTAAGACATACAATCGTAGAAAATGAGAAAAGTTTCTACTAGAAAACATGCTGACATTTTAAGTGCAATAAGACACAAATTTAATAAAATTGTGAGAAACAAAGGGTATTTTTTGAAATTTTGTGAAATTAATAACAAAACTCTCATAAACAAACAATTCTGCAACTTATAATTTAAGTGTAGTTGGTTGTTTCAGATGCATTTTGTAGTTTACAATAATTAAACGACTACAGAAAACATACTTTATTTTACAGCAATTAGCATGAATAGGCCTTATCTATGATTTCCATAACCTTAAGTAGCCACCTCTATTAATAGCAATTTTAGGTAGAACCATTATTAACTGCTTACGACAGATTTCATTGTATTATGCATGGTCCTGTCATTAACATGCATGTCAAGGGCCAATCAGGTCAGTGACCCCAGGGCCTCTATATGTTGGATTTTAATTGTGCACATCAACGCTCACCAAATACTTTTTAGAGCAATTACTTGTCATGCCAGAGACCACACTGTCTCCCTGAGAACAGATCAGAATGGAGATGAAATGCAATTCCAAATCAAATCTTCATGAAAATTAAACAACCAATCTCTGAGAAAGATCTATAATCTACTAAATCAACTTTGAATATTAACACAAGTATTTGAATTTGTGACTTACTTTCTAATACTGTCTTGAAAATGTGTGCTACTCAACATACTTAAAAGATTAGTGCACAAACATTGTAGGTTCTCTCATTTTTTAGTTAATATCATTTTTGGAGCCTTCTTGTTCGTGTCTATGTAGTTTACAAAGAGAGTGTATCCATATAGGAGAGATCATGGTTTTTACTAGAAAGCAAACATTGTCACTCCATAAGTAACTGCACCTTTACACTTTCAAGCTTGGTTTCCTCAAAACTAGGAATTCTGGACATGTAATATGTGTGTAAATAAGCCATCAAATGAAGTACACATATTGGTTATGGCTTATGAATCTAATTTAGGAACTATTATAACAATATTTCTCACCGATCCAAAATAACATCATGCATTAATTTATTCAGATTTATAAGAAGGGCCTAAGCCAACTCTAAAAAAAGTTTCTCAAATATATATTTTTCAAAGAATGTAAATTTTAAGAAATTATGTTCACATTTACAGACAGAATACTGAAGCTACCCTTGTTGCCTCCTTCCTAGGCTGGTCCTTGAAGAGAAAATTAATTCCTAATTCTAATTGTGTAGGATTGTGTACAAATAGAAAGAAAGCACACACACAACACCAAAGAAACTGATGAATGGTGGTTCAGAAAATAATCAATTTAAATCTTGTGACACCAATTACTCCTTGCAGTGATTGCAAATGATTAACATGAAATATGTTTATCTAGAAATGACACGAGTAAAAAAGACTACTTTCCATTTGTACATTTGGAATTTTAAGAAAATTAAAGTAAATATGCTATACTTCTCTAGAATAACATTGACTCTCAAAGCAAGTAAAAATACAATTTCTAACCATTTAATTACTGGTATACACTGAGAACTCAACTAACCCCTTTTCATGTTCAATAACTAATGTAAAAATAGTGGAGTTTAGGAATAGTTTAATAGAAAATTACTCATACAGATGCTATAATATAGCAAACAGAACAAAGAATTAGAGTTCAAATAAAAAATTACTATACCTGAAACTTAATCACTTTGCAAAGAAAGAGTAAGAAAGAGAGAGAAAGAAAATGGAAAGAATCATGCAAAACAGGTCTATTATTATAGCATGAAACATAACTATTGTTACAATTAAGTTATGTACAATATACATCCAGTTTTGACATGGGGAAGCCCATAAATGTTAGAAATCATTCATTCATCAGAAAGAAAGGTACAATTACTGAAACTACTTATAAGATAAAAACAAATATCAGTACAGTTGCTTCATTCTATCTGTCACAATCACAAAAATCATACTTATAGCTAATTAGATTTGATTTGTCAAGGTAAGATACATTATCAAGCAGATAACAAAAACAAACATACAGCTAAGCCAAATTGAATTTCATTTGCCAGTTAAAGAGCTAAAGGGAATTTGTGTTACAAACAGATGAGATATGAACAAATTAGCAGAATTTTATTACCACAATAATAACTAAAAGCTTTTATAACAATCAAAAAATCCAACATACAGGACTAATGATTCTATTCCTCCTCAAAAATTATATACTAAATATTAACCACCTAAAAGAAACACCATCCTCAATCTAAGAACTCACAGCCTCCAACATTCTACTCCAAAATCAATTCCTGTAGGTTCAGAACTTATTACTAGATCTTTACAACACAAGTTGTTCATATCTTACAGCAGGAAACACGTGGAACTGCACACAAAGAAGGTGGAAAGAATTGGAGTAACTTTTCAAAGTGGTCTGTTGTAAGTGAAGACTCTGAACTCTTAATTTAAAATGAAGGCATTAGCATGTGGGCAATAGCAATTACTACGGATATTTCATTTAAAATTGCATTTCCTGAAATATGAACTTTAGAAATGAGAAATTTGCAACACACCTTGCACCGATTCTTCATAAATGAATATATTTACACACGAATTTCTTCAAGAATAACCTTTGAAACGTTCTATAAACCAACTGTTATATTTATTCTTCACTATTCTTAATTCATTAAGTGAAGTCCTACATTTCCTTCAGAACTAATGCTTCCTGTTTATTCCTTCAGGCTCTGGACACAATTTATCTTCCTTAAGCCCTTCTCAACCTGGAGCACCAACATCAATTCTTCTTATCACAAGCTGCCAAAGTTTCACCTATCTGTAAGAGCCTAACACCACCATTTGCTGCAGACTCAAAACAAGTAAGATTATAATGACTGAATGTGCTAAAAGATTTCATGCTATTCAATCTACATTTTTTAAAAACAGTGACAAAATTTGTTTCAAAATGCAATACTTAGAGGAATGTTTGAATAAGTTTACAAAGGAACTGCTAACTCATTTCAAGAAAAATCACTCTGAAGTTCTCACACAAAAAGATAAAGAACATGTATGAGAATTACTCCAAAAGCTTTTAATAGCAATTTAATTATAATGACAGATTTTCCCATACTCAATAAACACAATTTTAAAATATCCAATAAATCTTTGTTTTGGATTTTTAATACAAAACATGATCAGCACAAACATGAAAAGCATTGGCTAAACAAAGTCTAAAGTAATCAAAGTCTGTAAATCACACACTATTAAACATGAAGCACAGACAAAATAAGCAACATTTACAAAATATGTTAATTAGATAAAAAACTTACAAAATGAAGTTCGCAGAAAAAATCTGCATACTGAAAGGTCATGAGTATTGAAGACAAAGTCCAAAAGCAGAGAGTTTCGAGCTCGATCAGTTAGAAAATTAAGAGAGAATTAAATTTGCCCAGAAATAAAGAAAATAAAGATTGAGACCCAAGGAGGTGGACTCAGCAAAGATTCTTTCATGACTTGAGCACAACCAACCAAGCACAAAAACCGTTTTAATGACTGATTAAATTGCGTTTCTTGCATGTGCATCAACTGCTAGTCATTAGCCCCCAAAGTGTAGTGCATGCTCTCCCTTAGACGGTGGAAGATGAGATCTGCGGCTGAGGGAGTTCCTTCCCTGAAGGTGTCTCAACCAACATTGCCCAGGGCTCTCCCACAGCCAGGACCGACTCCAAGCTCCCAATTGCTCTCTGGGACAAGGATGAGGGAAGAGAATTTTAATGTTGTCTGTGACCTCATTGTTAAGGTATTTTGCCATTCGCATGGCATTGATTGGAGAAACCACAAAAAACTACCGATCAGAGTTTCTGTCTAAAAGAATTTTCCTCAGAACAGTCGGTGAATTCGATCTAGCTAGTCATGCCACAGCTGGAACGTGAACCCTATGACCTCCCTTTAGATACACTACAGGGGCAAAAATCAATTTTAATCATGAGGGAAAAGGTTTTTAAAAAAATCTTTGAATGAAGGGTAGAAATTTGTTAAACAACAAAGGTAAATGACGAATCCAAATTTCAGGAAACATGTAAAAAATGTAATTAATGTTGACCTTTGCAAGAAAAATTTAAAATGTTTAAAATACTGCACAAAACAGGTTCTGAAAATGACACATCTAACACGGAAGAACCTTATTTAAATCAGAAAAGCATATTTGATTACTATGAAGGAAAGAATTCTATACAAAGAGGAAATTTAATGGATTCTCCGTTGCTTTTTATATATCTTTTTATTCCATTGTAATAAAACAGATCATGTGGGACAATTAATCAGGGTGGCAGATATAAATAAAAAAAGAAGGTAAGTAGAAACAGCATAGAGCACAGGGGGGTCTAAATAACGATCTCCTGCAGCACCACTGAAGTCTGACAAATGACCAGGGTCTGGTATCTAGGATTCACTGCAGCAATCACCCAACAGAAATTGAGAAGTTTGTGATTAAAACTCAATAGTTAAGGTGGAGGAATGGTTAGTGAATTGGATTGTTATAGCAAGTTCATAGTTCAAACTTAATTATGCTGTAGGTTTTTAAGGGCACACAAATTCTTCATACAACTTCTTTGGAGGGCAAGTAAAGCTGGCTGTCCATGTTGTAGATTTACTGCATGTAAAAGATCCTCAAGCCTAAAAGAAGCCTCTGAGTCAAATTGAAATCACCTGTTTTATTGCCCAGGGGTACCTTTCTTCTTAATGGTAAAGGAGCGTAGCAAAATTGCAGGCCTGATGGCTTGAGTCTTGCTATGTAAAATGAGGCTCAACCGAATTGAAACTTTGATGTAAACTTGTCGTACAAGATAGTATGAAAGAAAATAATTACTTTTGTTTTCAAAAAGGGTTGTATTTTTTATGTCAACTGTCACTGCCAAATTTTTAACCAACTCCAAAACAAGAAGGTTACACAATTCAAAGAGCATATTTTTCTCTAAACAAGTCAAAATGTTTATTTTTCTTGTCATGACTTAGCATTCCCCTATATTCTTCTAGTTTACGAAAATTCATATCATATATACTTACATGCACATGCATATATACAGTATATAAGTATACACAATATCCATTAACAGCAAAAATGAGCAATTTCAACCACTTCTCAATATGCTTTAGTATGTAGCATGCACTGCACCAATAGCATAAAAATCAAACACTAAAAAATACATAAATTTTCGTAAGATGCAAAATACTTCGTTGTACAAAACGGAATAAATCTAAAACAATACAAATGATTTTTCAGGAAGGTTTTTAAAAAATGGTTGCTATTTTTAAAGCACAGTTTCCAATAAAACATCATCAGGCAATTTTTTATCATTGTCAGGCAGAAAATTTGAGGATTTTTCATGGACCCCTACTTTATAGGCAACTACAGTAGCATGATCCAATTTACCAGGAACCATTGCCAATTTTTCACATACTTTCTTTCGACGTGTACGTTGCTCTGTGCGACTGAGTTCCATGATTTGTTGGTTAGAATTTTCAGAAACAGTATAATACAAATCAGGATCTTCTAAAATGTGTCGCTTAGCAGCAGTAAGTCGCACAGCAAAATCTAGCAACATTTCACAAAGAGTTTTTGCATCACCGCAGGGGGGCCCATTGCCTGAGACGCCATTCTTTAACAAATCATCCATTCTCAGAAGGGACAATTCGTGGCGTTGGTAGGCTTCGACAGTGGGCAGAGTGCTGTCGCTACTGCCAGGGGTTCGTGAATTGCTGGCCTGCTGTCTGGATGGGTTGGAGGTCATTTTCATGGGATTGTTTATCTTCACAGTGGAAGCTTCATTTTGCTGTGAAGGAGGCAGAACGGCAAACTTTCCAACGACAGGATCAAAATTATCAGACACACCATCAGATGTCACAAATACTATATCGCCTTCTTCAACTTCAGTCATTGAACATGTCAAATTATTTAATTCTGGATTTTGCCCATCAACTGGACCAAGAGCTCCTAGTGCATCTCGCATATCTCTCATGCAGTGAATATCATGAGAACCTGAAAGAAAAAACAAAAAATAATTAAGAATGTGCTAACATACAGTAATCAGCATCTATCCTGGAAGGGATTAAAAGAAAGAGCTGCATGAAAGGCTCAAGGCAACTCAAGGTTGGGTAATAGGTATAGGAATGACACCTCATGTCTAGGAAATTTTTCAATAGATAGGAGAAGGTAGCTGGGATATGTCATTCTGACCCACACCTAAGCTATCTAGTATATAGTAATGATCTATAATAAGATTTCTGCCTTGATATAATACGAGGTGCTGCTAAAACACATACTTCCTTGCAATGTTTCTAAATGCTAGGGCAATATTATATTGATTTGAATATTATATTGAACAATTGATTTGATGTAATATACTTTTTACAATGAGAACACGACAATTGTAAACTTATATAAAATTTCAAAATACGAAAATGACACGCAGATACATCCAGTTTATTTAGAATCTTAATAAATTTTATATGTGAGTAGAATTGCTTCAAATGATTTTCAATATTGTTTCTGAAATTTTTGGAAGTTTTCTGCAGCAACAGAGAATTGTGACAAATAATTATCCCCAAGCCAGTCTAGTAATAAATGCATTTCTATTCTAGAATACAATTGAGGGGAAATTGAAATGTGCAAATATTAGAACAGGTTACTTAATTTACTGATAGCATTGATTTTGTCAGTTTGAGATTCAATTGTGTATACCTGCCATCCAGTGATGGTTTATATACCCCAATCATGATTCATATATTCACAAGTTTCAATTGCAGCCAAACAGTTTTAACTTCAAGATCATGACCCTCTATTACCTCACTCACTCCACCGTCCCATACATCCAAACAACCCCTGCGGTAGATTGACAAATTAGAAATAGTCTTCTAGCATTACCCCTTCGAAGTCTAACTCTCACAGGCAAAGGATTTCCACGTAGGTGAAAGCACTTGCTACGATGCAGCTTCCCATGCAGAGACACGTGCCTTTCCCATATTCTCAACTAACATTGGCTCAGGATCTCACAGACATGTCAACATGCATGCTACGGCTTAGTTTCCCACATAAAACCCCAGGCGCACCTCCAAAGCCTCATCGCATCAAATTACTTAAATCTGTTACTTGGTAGCTAACCTCTTACTTTAGACTAAAAGAAAATGCTTACATTTTATTCACACCGCCCGTTGAAAATTTGGAGAAATATAAGAAAAACAATAAAAAAACAAACCTTTAGTTATCTCTCGAACTCCATGTTCTTGGCTATAGACATATGCCAAACTATCACCAACATTGCACACACATACAATATAATTTTCAGATGTTTTCAGAGGCAGAACAACAGCAGCAGTCAACGTAGTGAGCATGCCTTCCTCTTGCAGGATGAGGCTGTGAGCCGCATGGAAGGATCGCAAAAGAGCCACAAACACATCCTGAAATTCAAAACAAAAAATGAAATTATTTTCAACAATGTTACATCAAGTATTTTATAAACTATAATGAACTCAAATCCTTTGAGTATTAACGATATAGTCATAACAATAACAATCATCATCACCATTATTATTCATGTTTTAGCTCATGAAGAGCTATTATTTTCTTATAAGCATTCATGTCTTTCTGTTAAATAAATGGAGAACGATGAGAAAAAGTTTACCCACTGCTACACTTGTTATAGAATGTGTTAATTAATCCTAGAAAAAAATTATATCAATAGCTACTGATGGAGCCATGGTAGTGATTGGTAAAAAAAAAGGAGTTGCAGATTGAGTAATAAAAAAAAATTGAAATCTATGAATATACAGCAAAAAGTAAAACTAATTCAGTGCATCTTACCCCTATCTAAAAATTCTGTGTGCTAAAAGCATTAAAATAAATAATGTAATGGATGTTGTTGTTCACGTTATAAACGCTATAGATCTGAAGGTCTCATTCTTCACCAGATGAAAACATTTATCTCAGTGTGAAAGATAATTTGGTGATATACTGTAATGTTTGTTGGTTAAGCAGGGGTACAATTTTGGACAGTTTATATGAGTATATATGAGAAGAGCTATAGCTTCATTCACAGAGGTAAAGCAAAAATCTGTCTCGATTAAAAGATAAATTAAGGCTATGCAGCTTTGCTTTCCTTGCAGGACTTCTAAATATGTCACTGCAAGAAAAATCACTTTCAAAAACTAATGAGTGATGTATGGTAAAATCCTTCAAATTGAAATTGTTATGGGTACGTCAGTTTTGAGAAACGATACTTCACATTTCCCAAAATTAACATCTTGTGGAGATAGCATTAGAACAGAACATTTTGAAGCATATGCAGAAATATTAAGAGATTTGCATCAGGAATTGAATTTTAAATCAGATTTGCACAAAAGTGACCAGGATTTTATGTTTATTTCTACTCCACATTCCTTTAATATGGTCTTTGCAATTAGAACTCCTTGATTTACAATGTAATGAGCTAAAAGACAAATTTCAACACAGAAGTAGTCAACAGGAATTTTACTATCATTTTCCTTGACCAAAATTTAAAAGGCTTTAGAATTTTGTATAGAAATTTAGAATAAAAGAATTTTATGCAGGTTTGGGTCGACATACGTTTGTGAACAACTTTTTTCCCTCGTGAAAATTAGTAAAACACACTTCAGAAATCAGTTGTCAGATACAGAGGTTACAATCCACACTTTGGTTATCTTCAATTCTTTCTCTTGTTCCAAATATCGAGAGACTGGTAGGTGCAAAAAGAATAGAGAAATCAAGAAAAACACTTGATCAAAATGTGACCTTGTAGTTAAGCACTTATTTTATGTTGCAATTTGCTTTCAAGCCAGGAGAGGCCGCATGTTCCCTATGAATGAAAAAAGTTGCCTGAAGAAAATGGACCCCCAATTTCATTGCATGAGATGTCTTCTAACATCATGAACTAACTTAATCCAGTATTGAAGTGACTGTTATATACCTAACTTCATTTATCAACTACCTTTTTATTGAAAATTATTAAATCATTATATGCTTGCCAATGGGGAAAATCATTATTCTTTTTTTTCATTTAATGCAAAACAATATATGATAAATGCTAATTTGAGAATGGTTGTGAAAAGTTCAGTAATCAATTTTTACTTACAACATTTACAAACAATGAACATGATTTGCACATTCATTGTTTACATGCACTTTTCACACTGAAGGAATGCTCTGCAGTCCAAATTTCTGGGACAAGTCTCACATCTTGTCCTGTAAGTGTCCTTTCTTGCAACTTCAGCTTCTTGTTTTTTTCCGAATACAAATATTGTGCTAGTTTGTGTATGAAATCTCATGGCAATCCTGTTAATATTGATCTCAGAATGGACCAAGAGTGAATACAATGCACACTTCTGTCTGCAATGCTTGTCTCTAGTGATTCCTGCAAGATTCAGTAAGGATTGATAAATGAAAGTTGATTGTGCCAACTTGGATTGTGTGACAGGAAATGGAGGTTATTGCGAGAAATTTGAGAGCGATTCTCTGGTTGGCATTGCTTGTCAACGACGCGGGTCACACGTAGGAGAGAGCGTGCAAGCTTTGTTACCCAGAGAAACACACAAGATAAAAATTATTTCTTAGAATTGACAGAGAGACTGCAATCATGAGACAAGTAAAGGATTTTGCAGGTAGCAGATTACGGAAAAGGAACTGAAAATCACAAGGGTTTAAAACATTCTCAAACTAAGCTGTACATGAAATAATCATGCTTGGGGTCCAAATTCCTCCATATGACCTCTCCTGGGCATCTATTTGTTAACATTCATTATTGTTTCAGAAGGAAGCAAATTCATTATATTATATAACATCATATAAAATATTGTCTTAAAATGTTAAAACTGTCTTCTCCAACAATGTTATGTATTACAAGAATTGAAGTGGAAATAGGTTATAATAAACATAGTCTGATATTGCTTTGTGTTAAGTAATTATCTGTTTTATTACATAATTTTTCAAACTGTTATTGAATCATAAACCTTCTAAATAATATTTACCCAGTGTTCATAATTATTGATTTTAAAAGTGAACTTTTCCCCCCACTTCCATAGCACCATTGGAACACCAAACACCCACCACTACATCGAGCACTTCCTTGGCTCTGCAGCTCGGTTCAGAGCAGGACAGCAGAGCACAGATTTCTGTGATGTCGCAGAGAATTCGCAAGCACTGATTTAGGGTGTCTTAAGTTTATAAAAAAGAATAATCTGATGCCTTGCTTTTTGTGTTTCACATTTTTAATCCATTTCAGGTTGTCATCAATGTAAATGTCCAAATATTTATAAATTCTGGTTCTTCTCATTATCGTATAAGCCCAATTTACTAATTTCAAATCTGGTTTACAAAGTTTATGTTGTTAATTCCTGGAGTACTGTCCGCGTAACTGCCATAAGTCAAGTAGACATTCTCCCACTGTTAAGCATTACATTGCTGTAAGCCACACACAGTTTTTTCATTTGCTGCAGTGAAGTTTTCTGTAGGACATCCAAGATTTGATAACTTCTATGTAGTTCACAAAAGGTAACATTTCTATCTGACTACAGTTGTTAAAAATATTGTTCATGAACAAGGTGAAGTACAGATCCTAGTATTGTGCCCAGCAATACTCTATAACTGTGTTTGTTCTGTACTTTTGCAGTTCCCAATTTTTACTATTTGTTTTCTATCCCTGAGATAGTTTTCCACGGTCTTATGAGCTTTTCCCCGAAAACCTTTGGATAATGTAACAAATTAGCTACTGTTGTCAGATTTAGTTACATGTTGTCAGAATTAGCTACAGTTATACTTGACAGTCAACATTATTTTGCCAATGGTGCAGGAATTATTCTAAAATATTTAATTATGGTTTTATTTATTCATGAAAGGAAAGCACCAAATCATATTTGCAAGTAAACATATAGAACATGTTCCAGGCTGCTTGTTAGCTCCAAACCCCTGTATTTAAACAAGATTTAAAGTATTTAAACATTTCCCTATGTGACATCAGCAAAGAACCTAACATGAGACCGAGCGAGGAAAAACTAATCTAGCACCTCCAGCTAGTCTTTTACAGGTAGCCACAGAAGTGTCAAGTAACACAACCCATCTTCCATGACCAATGGCATGTGAAATTCTCAAAGTGAAATGCGAGTGCAAATGGCAGACAAGGCCTCATGGGCTCCCTGGCTTCTCTTAAGAAGCTAACACAGTCTGGTCAGACACGTGAGCAACTTTTTTGGCACTCATTGATGTCAAATCAAATTATGGGGCATGATCGTGATTAACATGCAGAAAGGACTCACATTTATTCCATGAATGTTGATTATCTCTACCTGGAGCTGATTTACTCTCTATTATTTTTGTTATTCTGTCGAGGAAAGGTTTTCCCTGAATGATATACATACTTATGATAAACTTTCTTTATATAGATGGAATGCACGAAAAGTACATTTTAAAACTCCCTTTGTAAGAAATGACACACAGGGTCCATTATGAAAGTAATGAAGTAATGACTGCGTATGACTTTATTGTGACAACTATCCATGGCTATCACTTTGCTCCAAGCAGTGTGAGCAGAAAGATGTGCCTCCGAATGTAGTGCTGTCGACGCAACGGAGCGTTCATTCCAACAGCAACATGCCACCAAATTTTGTGTGAAGCTTGGAAAGAATGCAATCGAAACATTCCAGATACTTCAAGAGGCCTGGACAAGGAGAACTGCATTTCAAGGTGGCGGCGCGGGGCGGCGCGGGGCGGCGCGGGGCGGCGCGGGGCGGCGCGGGGCGGCGCGGGGCGATAAACTCCATTTTGGACGCCCAACGAAAACGTGGGTTGTCAACGAAACGCGTTTTGTGTTCCGATCATTGAATGAACATCCAGGAAATTGCTGACAACCTCCTATGATAGAAATGCCGAGTCGCTTTTTTATTTTTGTTTGTCCAATTGAAGAGAGAGCAAAAAGGAAAGCACTGGGAGGCCATGGAAAACATCCATAAAAATATGACAACATTCCCGAGAGACATTTCCACCAAGGACTGTCAGAATGACCATCTGACATTGCAGACACATCTCTGCAAGTGTATAGATACAGGGCAAAAGCATTTTAAAGAGTTTGAAGCATTTGTATAGGCTCCATGAATAAATCTATTTTTCCCAGAAAATGCGCATTACTTTCATAATGGACTCTGTAGTTACAGGTATAATACTACAAGTAGTATTTAGTCAATTGAGAGTTTAATTAAAAGTTTGATTGAGAGTAAATTCTGAGAGCTCTTTGAAATACAGTATTAATAGCCGGTCTGTTTACAACTCCAACTATACACACTGAACTGACACCTTGAGGCATTAAAAGTTGGAGCTCCAGCCCATATGGCTGACAGAAGAAAACATTTCACAGAGTGATGTGGTCTTTGACAACACTGAACTGTTGTAAAAGCTGATGTGAAAAAAATTGCCTTTGGTCTGAATGGACCATAACAAAATATGGAAGTGAATGGCTGTATGTGATATTTGTGCAACATGGAAAGTAATTAGTGTGAGTAGCTAAATGTAAGGTTGAACTGCATCATCAGTCTGTTGGGTAATCAGGTTGTTCATTTTGGGGAAATAATATTTTAAAACTTCACTAATTTATGCAAAATCTTCTAATCCACAAAGAAAAACATTTCAAAAAGTGTAACCTGCTAAGCAAAGGGAGACATGAGTAAAAGTAAACATACTGTAGTACTAGAAACAGATGTTACTCCAGGTGTGAAGAGCGCTTTATTCAAGTACTCCACACAACCATGAATGGCACTTCGAGCTGCCACACAGGCCTTCTCGCCCCAGTTGACTCCATCCGCCAAAGCAAGAATGGCACTGTTCTCACGTGCTACCACAGCAAAGCAGTCAGCAATAGGATTCCCTGCATTTTCATTGGTAATAGGATGCCGCTCATATAAAGTTGTAGCAGCTCCAAATGCATCTTTATGTGGGCAAAACCAGTCACATACACCAGCAATTTCTTCTGTTTTCGCATGGGTTGGTGACATCAGGTCTAAAAGAACACAAATATTACAATCATAAGCAAACAATCATCTGGGGCAATAACAATCATTCATTAGTGAATGATTGTTATTGCCTTCACACCCAGCGCACATCATGTGTGCATGTATGAATGAATGATTGAATGAATACACACACATACATAAACAGACCTTATCATGCAAAGAAAAAGATATTGTAAAATTATTATGTAAATATATTGTAAAACCTGTAAATTTGTCTTTGCACAAATCCTTAAATTGATTTTTGATAAATCTCTTGAGACATACATTTCCTGCTCAATGGAAATTCTCCTTCATAATACTAATTTACAAAAATGGCAGTAGAAATTGCATTTCACATTATATGGTTATTTACAATCTTGAGCATTACACCTAAATTGTTAGAACCAATTTTCATGGACAAAATTGGTATCTAATCCATCCTTTTCTCTCTGGAAAACAATTTGGGTTTTTGAGAAAGAAGAATATAGAGGTTAATTTTGCCTAACTATACTCATATTCTTAAGGCTATGGATAATAAATTTAGGGTTGAGAGCATTACATGCCTTTGATACAGTCAATAATTCATTCGGGATATATGGCCCACTGCTACAGTGATTCAACAGTTATGAAGTTAACTGGAAGAGTTCAATATGCAGCCTACAGAAATGTAAGGTCACAATTAAAGCTTCCTTGGGATTACCTCACGGGTCTCACTTGGGTACATTTTTGTTTTTGACTTTTATTGATGACTTTGGTATGATGTTGAAAAATGTTGAATGTCTGCTTAAGCAGATCTGAAAATTTATGTCTAAAAATGCCACAGGACACTGGAGATTTGCAGAATGCACTGAATTCCTTAGCTGCCTGATGCATGGATAATGATTTAGTATTTAATTCAAATAAGAGTAAAACTCACCATCAGTAGGAAATACAGTTATGAATTCTACAGTGTTGGAGATGGTATCATCTGTAAGTGAACTTCGAGTGGTTTCGGACTACAGAATCTGTTTTGAATACACTATAGAATATGTTTTGTATCACAGCTATTGATTAGCAGTGCAAATCAATTACTGGGAATGGTTAGAAGAACGTTTAACCAAATAGCCTTGTTTAGGGACTTGAGATCATTGAATCTGATAATTATAAAGTTGGTGGTGATGTATTCATCTATAGTATGCTCACTATTGTTTGCTATTCATACAAATCAATTACAAACTGTACAACACAAAGTTTTGCACACCCCTTTATCAATCACAAGTAAGATGAAATATCAATGTGTTGTATTATCTCAGGATGTTGTGGATTAATGTCTTGAAGAAATGCTCAATGGCATCATCAATTACCCATTTCTGTTAGAATGGTTGGACTTCAGAGCTTCTTCATTCCGTTTGAGACCAAGAGATCTATTTTTGTGTCATCAGTACAAGAACTTACATTTGGTAAACACCCTAATTATCAAAAACGTGCAGGATTGCTAACATCTGATAGTATTGATGTATCGGGAATTGGAACTAATTGATAGTATTGATGCCGAGTTTTTGAGAGATGCTAAGTGGCTTATTGTATAGATAGGAATAGCAATGTTAAATCTCGATCTAGGTTGGTTTTTTGCCCCTATCCTACTCTAGTATGTCTTTATATGATTGAATGAGTTACATATGGATTGGTAAAAATTGACAAATTTTATGTATATTGGTAATAAGTAAACAAATAAAATTATGTATTTTTGTGATTAATTCAAAATCAGTTTTAACACTCATACGCAAATAAATTTTTTGCAGGAAGCCTACATGCAAGCCATATGGTAGTGTTTTCAGCCTGCAGCATGTAACTGTGTAATTTGAAGTCTCTTAACAAGCCTATATGATTTTACACATTGCTTTAAAATAAGGGTGAACTGTTATTGAAAACAATTAAATGCAGTTAATGTCATGTGTAATTTACAACACAAATTCTTATTACCTGATAACATAAGCAAGCATTTTAGAATTGGTTATTTGGGACTTTGGTAAAATTTTGCAACTTTTCCACCTCCTTATTAAAATTATAATAAAATTCCATTTATACGTTCAAGATTATGCGTTGTTCTTTTCAGATCTGGGTCTTACATTTACTTGATACAGATGACGAGCAGTGGGAACAATCACATGATCCAAAGGAGCCCAAGCCCAAGGCATCTGTGTTGGGTTCACTGGTCACATTCAGATTTTTTGGTAGGCCAGCTTTCAATTGCAGACTGAACGAAACCAAAAGATGCAAGGATAATGACACAATTGTGCAACAGTCCCTATGGCTTTGCAAAATTTTTGCATGCCGCCCGGTACACCTTTGAGAAAGGTTAGGCAACATTGCACAGTAATCACCTCGCTTAATTGTACAAAATACATGCGAATCAAGTAATGGTGACAATTATGGGACAGTTGTCACAGCAAATGGGGAAATTTATACTTTAAATGCATAGTAAAGCTAATGGTTTAAAATCAGACTCCCTTCAAAAGTGAGAACTTTCATTCTCGAAAAAGTTATGTATTCAGAATAATATATACATAATACTTTCTAACACAAAGGTGTTGTCAAAATATTGAGATATTTTGAACCTAGATTTCCTAATTTTCAGTTCATATTGTTTGTGGGAACATCCAACATAATTTTCATAACCACACTAATCATACATAAAATTAAATATTAAAAAGCTGATAAAAACAACAGAGCATTAAGTTCTCGAGAGGTTTTGGGAAAATAAAGAGACAAATTTCATCAGAACATTTTTTGCTTTTTTAATTAGAATCCACAAGACAATTTTAATCAGTAAAATTAAAAATATGCAGAATTACAAAACTAGAAATATTTTTCCATTTTCTGCACACACAACAAATCATTTATAGTTAGGAATCCACTTTCTCACCACGGGTAAAACACTATGAGCATAGCTACAGTCAAGTGTCTCCCCGAGCATTAACCAACATAACACTCAAAGCTAGTAAAAATAAAAACACACTACTTATTTGCGTTAAAATGATTTCTTACATGCAATAATTACAAGGTTTTATAAAATGTCAATGAATGACCAACTTTAACAGTAATAATGTTAAATCAAAGTTTATTTCTATTTAAGAAGTTGCACTCTTCACTGTCATAAAAACTTCAAATAAGTAGACAAACTTTATTAATTTATATATCATGAAAATTATTATTTATTATGGAAGACAGTAATGTAAGATATTAAGACTGAGAAAAATTGTATATCAGGGCAGTTAATGAAGCCAAGAGTTAATACTCACATGTGAATAAAATCTGTATCCTCTAGTGTAACATACTACCTAGTCATTTTATTTGTTACGACTATGTAAATTAGAAAAGGAATCCAAGGCTTCTATACTGACTCACAGATGAAGATAAAAATGAACAATGAGAGTGTGACAAAATCTTTCACTACAGAGGTTAAGGCAGGCCTGTGGCCTGTTCAACATATATGCCAACCATATAATCGAGGAATGAAAACTAACTCTAAGAAAGGGAATAAATATCAGTAAAGACAAAAGATCCACATAATCCTGTTTGCAGAGGATATAGTCATAACAATGGAATACAAATTGCAGCACATGAACTTTCTGTTTCATGTTAACTGTTTCGAGCTGAAGGTTTACAAATGTAGGTTTACAAATTTCCGTAGAAAAAACCAAATTTATGACAAATATAAAAAATGCTCCTGAAATTCTAGTAACAGTTATTGGACAGGTAAAGAGAGTAAATAAATTCAAATATTTGGGAGAAATAATTCAAGAAAATGGACTAGAAAAATTTGCTGTAGAAGAAAGGGTACACAAAATGGAGAGAGCATATGGCATAACCAGAAACATTTACAACAAAAAGTCTATCTAAAAACTTGAAAATACATCACTACAAAACAGTAGTAAAACCAGAATGTCTTTATGCAAGTGAATGCTTAGTACTGAACTACAAATTACATAAAGTTGAAGTCCTAGAAAGAAGAATTATTCGCAAAATTCTCGGTCCGATAAGAAACACAAAGGTATGGAAATTAAGAAGTAATGAAGAAATTTATCATACTATAGAGAACATAACCGAAACATTACAGAAGAGGCGAGTGCTATTTTTTGGACATTTATATAGAATGGACGACAACAGATTAACTAAGCAGATTTTTAACTACCTTTGGAACAAGAAGTCGACAATAGCCTGAATTAAAGAAGTTAGAAAAGATTTAGAAAGAAACAATACAAGCGAAAGAGAAACAGCAGAAAGAGAGATTTTTAAGAAGAAAGTGTTAGAAATGGAAGGATTCCAGGGCAGGAAGGAAAAGAAGACAGGATCAAAATGGTCCGAGGAGAGAAAAGTGATACACAGCGAGAAGATGAAAGAGTACTGGAGGAGGAAGAGGGAAGAACAAAGGAAGAAGCAATGAAATTGGTGCGTGGTCCCTAGATGACCCAAATGAAAGAATTATTATTATTATTATTATTATTATTATTATTGTAAGTAGTAGCATTAAAATAACATCTTGGAATGTTAAAATGTTGGTATGTTAATTATCAGCTACTAAAAATAATTATTATTATTAATCCCCAATACATCTAAACCAATCCTCATGTAGAGTTCGGAAGTCTGGGCAATGAAAAGTAGTAAGCAACAAAGAGTAGAGGCAATGCAAATGAGATTCCTACACCATCTTGTAGGAGTGACATTAAAGGATAGGCAAAGGAGCCAAGACATCAGAAACAGGCTTAAGGGAAAAAATGTAGAAGAAGAAATAAAAGATGGATAGAGAAAATGGTTCTCTCACATTAACAGAATGAAACAAGGAAGATTCCCAAAAGCAGTGTTGAAGTACAAACCAATAGGACGAAGGGATGTGGGAATACCACAAAAGAAATGGCTGGGTTGGGAACACAAGGTGTGGAAGCCTTCTGGAAAAGAACAAGTGACAGGCTTAACAACCAGCAGATGATTATTTTAATATTAATTTGAGAATAAAATCTCTGCCATCACCAACTTAAGAAATTTCAAAATAATACAAAATTGTGTATAGTTTATATAGCTTTAATGGAAAAACCTTGGTAAAATCTTTCGAAAATAAAACCCTGGAATTAAATTATTTACAAATTCTAATTTCAAATTGGTATCCCAGCAGAGGCACTCCCCCACCAAAATACACTGCTGTAAAGCAAATACGTACAGCCTTCAACAACAAACAAAACTGAGCACCATAAAGCATCAATGAATTTGAATCCACTTAATTATAATTAAGATAATTGTTTTAAGAATTTTCAAAATTGATATACAAAGAAGAAGAAAATCATTGCTACTTTAGGCATAAATAAATCTCAGAATTATTTATTGAGGTAAATGGAAATTGTATTAAAAAAAAATCCTATAATTATAAACTTCCTAAATCCTCCAGTTTTTTCCCCTCACTTATTTTCAAATATAAAGAAATTAAAGAATAATTACTATGGCAGAGCAAACAAGTTTACAATTTCCATTAAATTTTCAACAATTATATCTTTAAGTTTAACAATTTTCTTTAAAATTTCCTAACTTCTGTTAATGTTCCTGTTCCTCCTCTCCACAGGCCACTAGTAACTGTGGACTGAACACATATACAATACTACACAAATATAGAAAGGGCGATCACCAAGATGATGATGATGATTTAAATTCTAATGACTATTTAAATTCAACTAACATAGGAGTTGGGATATACACTAGGGGTGCGTCATCAATGTTTCTAAAAAAACAATGTTTTAAACATTGATAGATTAAAGCCAATATCTTTACATTTATGTTTGTTTGCGAATAAAAAATGTCTATAATCACAAGTACCATTAAAATGTTATTAAAATCGATGAAATCATAAATATTTTTAAAATCATGGAAAAAGGTATAAAATGATCCATTGGTTAAAACTGACAAAAAATATTAAAAAAAAAAAATCATATTCAAAAGGGTCATTTCCTTATATCAGAACATATAAAAATAATGCCTACACAAAAAGGCATTCTGAAGTTGGGTAAAAAAAAAATTATTAAAATCTGCCCCTGGTGATATTATGTTCCGTTTTCATTATTTTGATTCACTAACATTACTATATCAAAAATACTGCACTAAAGTTATATAGTGATTTGATATCAACCCTCCATTAGACGGAAACTTTATTAAGGAACTGTCAGGTACGGTCTTAGGTAGGTTTGTAGTGTAGAACATTTCAGTTCCAACAATCAACTCTTATTGTTACTCTTTCAACCTAAAAGTAACTCCATAAGTTTTATTAAAAATATTCTAATTTACTACAACTCAGGTTATGAGATGAACATGCATCTTGTGGGTACATTACAAACAACTATTTATATACATCATATGAATATTTACACAAGTGGTTGGTGCAGAAATCACAAAAAAATATTATATTTATAAGAATTCACAAGCATGTATTCACTTGGTGCACTTGTAATGCGGAGATACATGCACACACAAAAGTATAGATGCTCATTACCACACATGCACAACGTGTGCTTACTTCTTGCTACTCTAATGTAAAATCAAAGATCATGCCTCAAAGAATATCTAATCACAAAATTTCTATTTGTGTCAGTTTGAAATTTTAACATGAATACTAATAGAATAAGAAGTCATAGACAAAAAATATGAAAAGCAAACACTTTCAGAATTCCACATATTCCTGTTTGTGTGAGAATAAGTATCTGTTATTTTAAGAATTGAAAAAATTCACTTTCAAAACAAATTTATTGACTACTATGTTTTGAAGCATTACAACAAGCAAAGCTGTGTGCATATGCCATTACAATAAAACAGATTTTCATTTCTTTACACTCACCACTCACTCTTGCCCGAGAGTTCCCCATATGATTTCCACTTGCTGACAATGGTGGAGGTGCACTTTTTGACTTTCTAATGGGTGCAAACCCCAACCCAGATCCACAGCTACTGTTGGCATATTCAGCAGGAGGTGGTATCACAACATCTTCCAATGGACTGCCATCTTCAACAGTTGACATACTCAAGTCAGAAGTCATTAAGCCCACTTCATTCCTGTTTCTGTCCATTTCATGACAAATTTCTTCTTTCAAAGGGGGTCTTCCCAAGTAGGATTTTTTCTCGTTAATAATGCCATTTTCAAAAGCTTCCTCTCCAGTTTGACTAGGATCTTGCTCGTGATCTAAATGTGCGGAGTGCTTGCACAAGAGGTTAATTGAAATGGCTTTTTGATCTGAATGTATTTCTTCAATCTTCTTACTAGCATATTCCAGGATGTTATCATTCCTGGAATTTCCTTCCAAAAAATGCAACGTCCTACATTATTTTTTTTAAGAAACAACAATAACTTCTAATCATTAAATAATAAGCGATTTTTCCACAGATCAATTACATTTATAAACCATGCTGGAAACTAATTTTACCTGTGTATTCTGAATTCTCAACAGTATCTTTATTAGCATTGAGTTTCACATCATGTTGGTTATCTGTCACAAATGTTTGTAAATCAGACACACTTGTGTGGACAGAGCGTTTTCCAACACTAAAAACCGAGCCAGCTGCTCGTATGTGCATGACAGTATTGTCAATTGGATGGCCAAGAGCAACTGGAGGCCGAATTGTGAACCACCTGTCATAACTGCGACTGAAGATGCAGTCATTTGACGAAACTAAGACAACAAGAAGGAAATAATAGTCAACCTGTATTCAGTCAATTTAATTTCCCTTGTAAATAACATAATCATGCAGGAGAGACGCAACATTCTTCATCCATGTAGATACAATTCAGAAGTTATTGGGGCTTTAAGAAGATAATACACAGAGCAAAGAAAATGAAATGAACAAGAAAAAAAAATTAATATTTGTCAAAATGTAATAGAAGTAAAAAGATTCTATCCATTTTCAAAGATGTTTTAAAAGATGATTAAAATGTCACAACCAATTTATGACTTTTGCCTTCAAAAGTCAAGACACTTCAGTGTCTAGACTCCAGAGACTAAGGAATTGAACAGAAGTATTAGTTTGAAGTCCAGAAAATGCTGCTTGAACAATGCACATAGAGACTTTCATAAATATTTAGAAAAATACTAATTTCCCAATATCCCAAGTAAGCAAACAACTAATTTCACAATTTACATTTCAATAATAAATTAAAAATTGACCCAAGTACTTTTTTAGAAAATTTCCTGTTATAAACACATCACAGCAATATTCTTTAGAGCCTGACTTCATGTACAGATCTTAGGAATATCACAGTAAACTGTCAAACAAGACCTCTCACAGCAAAGCATTTTAGCAAAAGAAACAAGCAAGGATATTGAGTAAATTGAAGACAACAAGGTTAGAATATCCTCGTATAAATTACATTACAATTTACGATATAATATTTAGATTTCCTCTTTTAGAAGTATATATTAAATATACATAAAATAAGACTTGCACTCTAATCTATTTTGTTTCCAAGTACACCATTTAACCATTTCCATCACTTGAAATTGCAATTCCCATCCTCTCAAGTCACTACTCATTCAACATTGAATTAAAAAACTGTGTTTGGACAAAAATAAACATTAAAACATTAACAAGGGCCCAACACTGTAGTTTAATGTTCTGTTATGTCAAAATTTGGATAATTCTTTTTTTCAGTTTTACAACCAAACAAATATAAATTATGATTTGATCAATCAAAGAATTGACTGCCCGGTGGGGAATTGAACTCAGATTTCCTTGAATATCCTGAATTGCTCTAACCACTTGAGATACCAGGACTGACAAATCTTGGTGAAACAGTATTCAACAACCCAAGTAAAAATGTCAATAAAACACGTTTCCAATCTGTTATTTTCTGCCTCAAAAATTATTTCCAATTCATTCAGCTTTTCACACATGAAACTACACCTCCAGAACATAAGCATAAAATTTTAGAATTAAAGCTTGATGAGCATACTGACATTCATGGCACTTTGTAAATAACATATGACTTGAATATTTGTGAAACTATTGCAGGGTATTAAATGTAGAGATAGTATAATTAATCAATATGGCTCAGTTAATGGAAAAGTGTCATATGAAAAATAATATTAATAATAAAAATAATATTAAAACAAAACTCCTAAAAATAATTGTTAAACTATGGTTGTGTCATTTTCCACATGAATACATTGGCTTTTGTGTTTATTGTTTCAATTACCTCAAACATTATAATTTTTAACTTGAGTTACTTTTTTATCAAATGAACAATAATATTTTGACCCAGCAATGCCATACAACAAGTTGTTCTCGGAAAGCTCTTCTTCTCTCTAACCCCTTCTTCAGACAAATTTTAACAATTAAATTGTGTTTTGTTTGCTGTCACATTAAACATAAACACAACAAAGACTCAACTAAGCTTTACCTAAATTACATTGTTTTTATCTATTTCTGTTGGAACTTTGGAAATAGTAGAACACTGTACAGTTACCATTCACTATTTTTGCACAACTTAATAGTCTTTCAGAAGAAAATGTCACTTGTTTAGTAATTTTAATCATTAGAAAAAAGTTATAATCTACTTGCAAATGAAACTGAATATAACTTTCCTCTTCCCCATATCTTCTCTTCTTCTTTCCCTTCTTTTTCTTCTCAAGCATGCCCAGAATTCTGATTCACTACGCCGCACTTTCTTTCGCTGGCACTGATCCGAATATTCATGACATGTTCAGCCACATATCCTCTATCAATCCATCTGCACACCAATTTCCTTGCCCTTTGCATATCATTCAATGAATGTAATCAAACTTTTAAATACCGCATTCACTGTGGTGAAAATTCCGGAGGTAACATTCAGAACACACACACACACACACACCTTAGAACCAAGTAAATAATTTCAATGTAATAAAAAGAAACAATTGAGAAAATTTATATTTGCGGTCAACTGAATTCACAACTCTATGTCTACAAGACTAAACAAAATAGTTATTGTAATTTTTTTCATGAACAGTAAAATAAATATGTATTATTTTTTCTACTGAGAATACACAATGAAGATTCATTGTTTGCTTCATCTGTTGAGATACATATAGAAATGCAACAATTTATCTTGATAGCGTATTTGGAATTGATAAAAATATATCAGACAAAATAACATTAGTTAATCAATTTAGTATTGGTATGATTAAAGTGACAAGTATTAAAACTACTATTTTCTGTATATTAAAGTAAATATGAATTTGAATGTAGTTAAAAATCAACCAAGGATTGTGTATTGAATGTAATTTAATTTTCATAGTAGTAACGACAGATATTAAGGACAAACAAATGAGATAACTATTATCTACTCAGTCGTTGACATTACCAAGTTTTGTAATGTCATTAAAAATAAAGGCAGTAGCCTTGCTGGCAAAACCTCTTCAACCTTGCACACACTACTTACGTATCGTGTTCTGCAAATTCCTCACTTCCCCTGCCACCATGACGTTTCCCTAAAAACTCTCTAATTATCCATTAGACCCTGCACTATGGATTTCCCCCCTCACCTAAGCTGCATGAAGGGCATAATCTACTTCCTTATCTTATTCAGAGTTCTCTTCTTCAGCCAAAGAACTGCTTTTGACAAAGTATTTCTAAAATTGTAATTGCAGTTACATCACCGTAATGATTTGGGGTACAGCAAAACTGTTCACAATCCCAAGCATAACTCTTTGTTGCAATATTATCAAGACACAAATATTTATATTAATGACAATCAACTTTTCTCCAATTTGCTTACAAATAAAGCTGCAACTTATGAAGGTATACATGAACACTGAATCAACATGAAACACAATACCAGTTTCTTTCGTCCTTAGGAACAGAGTATTGTATCAAACAACACTTATGGACCCACACCACTATTACTGGCAATAAACAATATCATCTGATAGAAAGGCAAGCAAGCATAAAAACAGGAAAAACCCTTGTTGGAAGACAACTGTACATGCACAAACAATAAAAAGAACTATATTATGATTTTTATTTGACAAACACACAAAACACTTGCAACCCTGCTCAACATGGTTGGGGGTACCACTGAAGTGATTTTATTCTTTATATTCGAGTCAATGAATTTCGGTATTTTTTTTATTTGATGGTAAATTTTGAAAATATTTTTTATCCTGATTTCCAAATTTTGTTATCCATCTAATAGATAAAAGTCCAAAAATTCCATGAGTTTCAGGCATAAAAAATTCAATGAAGGCAATGATCCATACAATACAATGTAAAAAACAAAAATTAAACTAAAAAGTTTAAACTAAAGCATAACTTCACAAAATATTACCTGTATTACTCTCATGATCAGCTTGCTGATCTAAAATGTCAATGTAATCAACATCAGGGTCACTGGTTGAAAAATGACGTTGCCGCAAATTCACAGTTGTTAATCCTCCATCAGGTCCTGTTGCTGTTGCAACAATTGAATGTGTCCCAGTGGCAAAGGTGCCAAGGCATTTTGCTGGCAATTCTTGAGGATTCCGACCATGTAAAATAACAGGTTCAGTTCCACGAACATCATGGCTGCAAAAGAAAGTACAAGAAATATGAATATCAATATATTGAAAAAGCAAAAAAAATATTAATATCAAGAATATATTCCACAACCATTTACAATTACTGAAGCTGCAAAAGATAGTTGAGACAATGAAAATTAAAATCACAAACGATTTACAAAAAGCCTTGTCAAAAGCAATATCAGAAACCATGTCTAACAATTTTTTAAAAAGTTTATTATCAAAACAAAGGATATAATGCAAGCAAAGTTTGTTTCCATTCTATTATCCTCTCACAGAGTAGCATCTCTTTTAGACTACTATTGAAGCCAACCCAATTATTCCATGCACATTAATCCCTAAACGAATTAGAAGTTTCCCTTCTGATTAACGTAATTTTTGGAGAGGTGTAAATAATTGTAGGGAACTTCGTTGACCGATTTTAATCCAATAGGCTCTTGAAGAGATTATTGTGAAATATCATCCAGCTCACAATGGAGCAGAATGTTTTTTTGAGGCAATTATTGAGAGTTTAAAGCTACCATTCTGAGAAGGAAAAGAACTGAAACAATATAAAAGGTTAAATCTTTCTTTAATATCTCCTCCCACATGCGTGATATTTGATGGCTGCAACTATCCAAAAATTCCTTGAAGATTCTGCAGTATTTTCTTCATTCATTTTCATTTCACAAAGACTGAAGAATCATCTTCTGATGAATACAGAAACATACAATATATGGTATAAAACCAGTACAACAGGAAATGGTAACACAGGAGCTAAGTTCATACTTCTTATACCACAATTATGTAAATTCAGAAAATGTCATTAAATTCTGTTGTTCTAATATCTTGTTTAATCTAATGTTAAACACACTGTTATGTCACATCAGAAAATCAACAAGTGATATGAATTAACAATTAATTCTATAGAAAAATACGGGACATTTATCAATTTCTTACTGTTTTCAATACATTAAATCATGGTTTCATAAAAGTAATTAAGGTTTAATTCAAAGGGTTGTAAGGTGTGATTTTCTTCTTCACATATTAGATTTTTTTTATTTGACCCAACAAGAAAAGCTGTTGACTTAAAAACCTCCGACCATCTACAATTAAATTAAAACCAAACATGTGGTTCAGTTCTAAATAAATACATACCCGCTGAGATAACGTTGAATAAAACATCCTGATGAACTGACGTTCCCATCGTATTGTCCGGCTGGAGCATTTTCCGATTGATTGGTTACTGACAACTGCCTTATAAACCCAGCAACCTTCTTTCTCAAAGAAGGCATCATTGGTTTATGTGTGGAAAGCACAGACACAAGATTGGCACATGTTTGATTGTAAATGTAGTAAAATTTACCTGTGCAAAAGACAGTAATCAATACAAGGGTCAAATGTAAAGGCTATTTACACTAGTTAGCATTCTTAGCACGTACCACTAATTACTTGACAGACTCGTAATTTATTCCGCCCTTTTATGGCTTCTTAAGTTAAACGAGTGCATTAATTATTTTTTTTATAAACAATACGAAAAGTACACCTCCATGTACGGTGCGTTACTTTTAAGTTGCAGCAGGCCAGATTCACAATATTCATAGAGTAAACTTCAGACAACAACATTGAGGCAGCGCTTTTAGTGGTCATATTAAAACGACATCAGAACGTCTAGAATGACGTCGCTACGTTTGGCGGGAAAGTGTTGAATTGCATAATCTTCGTGTGCGGGTAAGGATTTCCGAGATTGTTAGAAACTTTGGACTGTATAGTGGAGATGCCGAGATTTGTGTTTTGTGTCACGTTTGTTCTTTACAATAGTAGTTGCGTTCGCTTTGAGGTTCTGCTTGCGTATCTCTTTTACAAACATGTGTAAAGAAGCTCTGTTCTCTCGGACATATTTATCTAAGAAGACGATAGGTTTCCATTTCGATAATCGTTCGAAGTAAATATTAAAGTTAACGATAACGCTAAAGTGCGATATTGTTATAAAAATAAATGTACAGAAGTTTTAGATCCACGAGCCCCTCCTTTCAATACGTAAAGACCCATCGAAACGAATTCTGCGCTCCTATTTGAGTAGAAGGTACCTCAATATTTCGTTTTGTAAACTGTAGAATTACCTAATATTAATTTTACAGCATTCTATTATCGTTATTTATTATTATTATTATTATTATTATTATTATTATTATTATTATTATTATTATTATTATTCCTCTGCTTCGCGACTAAAAATGTTATGAGTCGGTTGAATATATAATCTATAGGTAAGCTTCCGCGGCTCTAATCCATAAATTTTCGGCTATTCGACGCGTCGTCTCCCGGATAGCCGAGAATTTAATATATAATCTACTCTAGATTGAAATCAGCTTCCTAATGAGCAAATCTAGCGACTGTCCGTGCCTCTACAATATTGTGTGCAAAATGTGGTTGTTTCAAATAATGCAATGTTTTGCACTTCGCAGTCTTTTGAATGACCTGGAAGTTTAAGTTCTTACACAAACTGTACGGAACAAATCCCAGAGCTGCGATAACTATCGGGACAACCTGTGCTTTTACACCCCACATGTCCAAATTCTTGAATTAAAGACGTTTCTCTGCATGCTTACTTGCGACGTTTTGATCGTATGGCAAAGCAACATCTACAATTTTTTTCTTCAAATCTCCGATAACAATATCCATTGTTTTTTGCCGCTATCGTGCAATCAGTCTGAATTTGTTGGTCGTACAATATTGTGCACAGTCCAAAAGACGTCACCGGTTTTGGCGTATGTAGACAGCATTTGGGGGAGAATCGCCATGGAGAATCATTGCCATGGAGCTTGTAACCGAAGTCAGAATGCGACTACTGTCTCGATAGAATCAAACTAATACAAAAGAGCAGAGGAGATAGCAAATTTCCTTGAAAAAATCCCCTGTTAGTCTGAATACTTCTTGTTTCTTCTACTTCCTTTCCGCTATGTATTAGTAACACGGAGCTCAAAGACTTTATACTAGCCTTCCAAAACTCAATAAGTCAAGATTGAAATCGACGGAGAGAGTTTAGCATAAAATGCAATACATTTTCCGCAAATTTTGGTTGACAAAAAATTGAATTTTTTTAAACATATTTTAATATTCACACTTTGATATAGTTTGGGTCAGGTTTGATTGTAGGTCAGGCATATGTTCCCCTTGGAGATTTTTTGTCTGTGCCTTTTTTTGTTCGATGCGTATTTTTCGAGATATTTCGATTTGTCAGGTTAAATGGCACACCCGGTATAGTATATTACTTGCTCTACTATGTGGTGTAGCCAGAATCCATGTCTCGCGAATCCTTGATTCCTAAAAATAGTTTGACGGCGAAACGTCTGTCCCTCTGTCCGTCTTTGGTCAACGCTAGTGCCTTAACCGTTCTTCAAAATTGGTATTTCCCAATCGATCCGAATAAACTCGTGTCTTTTGGCGTTTCAAACGGTTTTTTAGGGTATTTTACATGAGACCTCAAAACATTTTCAATATTTTCTCAAAAATAGCACCAAATTTTTTATACTTTGTTCTCTCTTGTAAAAGACATTTAAGAGAACGATGCAGGTCTCATTTTCGTTAAAATCCCCGATTTTTCGAAAAAACTCCAAAGTTCTCTTTAAGTACTAGTCTGACATCTGGTGGGATAAAGGGAATGGTTTTATTGGTGATAATAGAGGTATTCCAAAGAATGTTGGCTTCATTCTCATTAACTGGTGGTGGATTTAATTTGTAATATGGTTTCTCTTCCATCAAAATAAGACGTTGGATGCTTAGATAGGTGTATATGATGGCAGCAATATTGTCATTTTTACAAAGGTGTGTCATTTCTTTGGGCAAGGATGGGGCGTAAGGAGAAGATTTGGCCTGTGAATGTTGTGGGGGGAAGGGGTAGGTAGGCGTTCGCAAGGTGGATGTGTTTGTGACGCGGCATTGTGGCGTGCACGTTGCTATTAACCGGAGACGTCGAAGCGAATCCTGGTCCCGGCGTGGAAGAAGTGAAGAGACACGAGATAAAACCAGTGGGGGCGAAGAAGAAAATATAAGAGCTGACACTTCTAAATAAGAAGCTAGAAGTGAATTTGGAAAATCCCCACCAGAGAGTCGAGTAGTGCGGATGAAGTGGAAAATGGAGGAACAGTTAGGGAGGACATTGCTGCGGGGCGGTAGCAGAAGATCTGAAAAGTGAGTGTGAAGTACGAGTTATAGGTGGCTCAGTCGGGCGACATGCAGGTAAATAAGAAACTGTAAATACAAGTAGAATGTTTGCCAGGAATAAGGATAGAATAAATGAAAAGGTATTTAGAGAGAAGCAGTTTGAGTACAGTGATTCTGCAGGTGCGAACGAACTGAAGAGCAAAGATGTGGACGTGTTAATGAGATCAATTTGCGACCTCTTCACGGCGAAGCAAAAGAAATTCCCAGAAGCTAAGATCGTGCTAAATAGTGTGCTGCGGAGAATAGATATTGCGTGGAGATACATTCGCAAGGTGAATGAGGCCTATGAATTATTGAGATGAATGATAGGAAACTAGCTATTTATGGGACAACATGGGTTCAGAAAGGGTTACTCATGTGAAAATCAAACAATAGCTTTTCGCCAGGACATCGCGGATACACTAGATGCGGATGATAGAATCAATGCGGCGGTCAACTTGCCCCCATCATAGGGTGCTTGAAAAAGTAGGCAGAATAGGGCTAGACTATTCTGCCTACTTTTTCACTACTATTATATATAGACAGTGATACTATGGATTAATAATTTTCGGAATAACTGGCACCAGCGGATTAGCGTGGGCGTCAGCCTGTCGGAAAGTGTTAGTGAACGTCTGGGGTTCGACAGGGGGGTTGTAGGAGCAAAATTTGTTAAGAAGGGAAATTCGTTATTAAATATTTCCAACAAACTTTCGACATGAAAATCTTTAGCGAATTGTAGGGAAAAAGCAAGGTGTTGTATATTTTAAAAAGCATTGTAGAAAAATCGGCATAGAGGGAAATTCAGGAGAATGCATGAACCCGTTTACTTACCACGTCACGACCATAACAGATACGTCCAAGGAAACAAGTATTGAATCGATGAATAACGTGCCGGCACCATCAATGGAGACTTTTCTCACAAACGTAAAGACTTTTAGGATGAAATTAGATTCTAATAATAGATGTGTATCCGATAGGATCAGTAGTCTGTGAAGTGCTTCTGTGTACCGGGCACCAGAAAACGTGATTGGACTTTTTGTAGAATTTACTGGTTAGATTTATGTATAAATCTTTCTCGTAAACCGTGTGCATTAATAAATCTTGAGTTTGTTACCCTCTTCCTCGGTTAATTTGTAGAGCTTTCACTTCCATTTTACGTTCTGCTTCTTAAGCGCTTCCTTAAAGGACGTGCATCCCCTTCTCCTCTGTGTGTGACTCGTGCTCTCTTCGCATTCTCCTTGACCTCCTCACACTCTTATGGCTAATTTTCACATTCTGTGCATTTGTGCCCCTTTTCACAACCCCAGCAGGCTCCTTTTCTCTTGACGCCAGAGCCACGTGCCCCAATACGTCCATTCCCTAAACATTTGTAAAACCGAGTAATTTCTGTTCTTTCTCTTATTCCACAGTGAATCAACCGAATTCTGACTTCCCCTCTTTCTAAGAGAGCTTCAGCTGCATTCTCCGCCATCAATATCACAGCAGCTTGGTGTCTCCGTATCTTTTTTGTAGACGGCAGTTGATAGATACCGTCAGTTATAGCTCTGATAAGGTGCTTTTGATTGTAAGTTCCACCTCTTCCTTCGTTGTGGCCTCGTCTACGTCTCTTATTTTATCTTTTTCTTCTTCGTATTTTTACTTCCGCTTTGTCCTTCAGCACTCCCAAGTGTTTGGCTGACGGTTTCAACTTTTCACGTTTTCTGGGACGACGAGGAGCTCAACTTTCTTGGTTCTCCGTAGTGATGCAACTTAGCTGCGCATTTGTCCGGGCTTCTTATAGCCCGGATACGATGTTGCGGTCACTTTGATTATCTCTTTACGCTTCATTTACATCTTGCTTTCACTGCTCTTTTCCTTCTTCTTCTTAGCCTGCACGTCTGCGAACTATCCATGTGCTAGAGGATTACACCGAGCTATATTTTCTGCGGTGTCTCGATGGCTTCACCGTCTCCTGGCGCGTCTGACCCACTGTACTTGTCGGTGCAAGTTTTTATTTTTAAAACCATTTAATCTGCATGCACACTCTTGTCACACACTCCACCCCAGGCATGTACAAATAAGTTATTTTAATTTGTATAGATTTGTTTATGATAGTGATTAGATCTGGCTATGCCGTATCTCAGTATTCCGTAACAATCATGTCACATTTCTACGAAGTTATAATACAACACATTTATTTGATGCTACAATAAATTTAATATCTTATCAAATACTTAAGTTAAAAAATAATACTCTCACACACCTTCTTTGTTGCAAAGAAGCTTAATTTACTATAATTGCAAATTGTAATAATTAAAAACAGAACTTTCTCCGCTCCTAAATCGGTCTAACGCAAGTCTTCCGTCTGGTCTGGCCCTGTCTGCCTGCTGCTCGCAGCATCACTGGCCCGTGCCGCATGTTACCCTTCCATCTAACGACGTGCGACTATCT